TGCATTTCTCATCAAAATAATAGCCTATTAGTGACCGTAAAGTACGGCTCAATGTATAGGGAGTGGGGTTTGAATGACGAGAAGGGGTTTGCGTTCACTTCAATGCAATCATAGCTCACATAAGGCTCTCATTTATGGCAACGTTTTTGACGTCAAAACACATTGAATGCGAAACACAAACAGACGATTGCAGTGAAGAGTGTATTATTGCAGTGATTGAGTGATTGTCACCATTAGTTGATCCACACATTGACCACAAGACAGTGTGGTCTCCATATCGACGATATGGTTATCATAAGCGCTCAGTCGCTGAAGGCTTACAACAAATATTATGACAATAAACTGAAGCTCAAAGTGAGTCACTTCTGTCCACTCGACGGCCGCGAAGGGGATCCCAAATGCAAGCGTATTGTGATTACCACCGATTGCTCGCAACACTCAACGCCATCCACACCACAATCACAACAACAACGACACGACTGTCCGCCCACTCCTGTCGACACATATCTGGTGATAGTCTTCTACGGCTCGTACGCGAAGACGCCGTTCAAGAAGTCACCGCTGAAGACGGGACAAGTGTTTACGTTATACCGATTCGAGACGAGTGTTATGCCGAAGAACAAAGTGTTCAAATGTATGTCCACTTTATTACTCACTTTAGAGTGCATTGTATTCACTGTTTGTCTCTCTTTTGCCGATGTCTTAGCGAACGGACGTATTCTCGACAACTTTTACGAGCCGTTAGTTGTGGTGAAAGCGGAGTTCGAGCCGACCATCAAATGGTTGGTCAGTCTTCGTGAGGAGCCGTTCACTGCCATCGCTGACAGCGACTCCTTTCCCGAAGACAATCAAACGGACGCCACGATTGATAGCCATCACGAGGAGAACACCGACGCGAGTGTCACTCAAACGGCAACAGATGAGCAAAAGATGGCGAAGTCGGCCAAAAAGAGGCTTAGATTTGCTTCAAATGACGACGAGTTGGGCTCTGATTTCACGTCCGACGAAGACTTTGACACCGGATTGACGTCCACTCAGAGGAAGAGGAAAGAGAGCGCTAACAAGAAGTCGACTAATAATAGACAGACATGTCTTTCGCCACGAAATCAAAACAATAGTCGCGGCAATTGTGTGACGACTATAACCAGAGTTCCCGTCTCGAGTCCGTCCACTAGTACTCGAAGTCCCACAACGAGTGGCCACAGAAGACACGAATACAAGACTCTCATCGAAGTACACAATCTGTTTCCAGTGAGTGGAAAGACCTATTGTCACATCTATGGTGTCCTCAGATATCGGGACTTTAAGAAAAACACTATTCATTTGAGGGATGAGAAGGCGTTCACATCGACCATACAGTTGAGGCCCGGGAACAGCTCTTTCCGTCACTACCCGGCGTTCAGACCGGGAGATATCGTGCGAATACATCGCGTATTATTGGCGCCCAATTGTATGGATATTATCTGTTGTGATCCCAAAGATGTGGTGGTCTTCGAGGCGTTTCAAGACTGCGAGTGCTTTTCGCCGATCAATACTAGTGTTCGGCCGACGTTTGAGTCGTTCGATCGGCAACGCAAGGAAGAGCTCGACCAGTGGTTTGCCGACGATCTGCTCGCAGACAGTCTTAGCGAAAAGAAGTCGTCCACTAATTATCATCTGTACGCAGATCTCGCGGTTCAAGTGCTTCGCGTGACGACCACTCGAGACAGAACCGAATTAGTCGTTTGGGACACAACGCCGCCAGCGTTGAGGACATACCGTTCAGACGTGTCGACCGCCGGTATGGGTCTCGACAGCGCCGAAGAGGAGTTGATTCGTATCGTCAATGAGAATCAGATGTCAATCGTAGTGACAGTGTTTGAACAGCACTCAAACGACGCCCAATCCATCAAACCGTTTGACTTTATAGTACTGTTTAATGTGAGCGTTAGGGCCGACAGGTTTAGGGACGGCTTCTATATGTATACACTTAACTCTGGCTATCATTTCGGCAAATGTTTACGTTTTGTGAAACCAAACGCTTACTTAAGTATTACACCAGAAATCACTCTTAAATGTATTTCATTGAATTGTTTTTTTCTGCTCTCAATCTATAGGCAAAAGACTCTACGATAAGATAGAAGAATATAAAGTGATGTCAGCCGTGAATGTGGGCACGCCTTCCATCGAAGACGCCGTACTCTCGCAGTCGTTTCCCGCCGACAGTCAGGACGTATCGACATTCCCGGCGGCCGTCGATCAGAGCGCTATGTTCTCAGATATGGCCGACTTTGAGATGGATTTGCATGAAGTGATCGATGAGTTGGAGAACAACGAGTGCTATCTTCCGGTCTCCCATATCGTCGACATTCCCTTCAAAAACATATTGATTGATGAGTTGATCAGCGATGGAGTGGACAAACACTTGTATAAAGTGAAGGCTCGTGTCATTAATTATCTGCCATCGAGTGAGAAGCGGGACGTGATCTCTGTGTTGTGCACTAATCAAGACTGC